CTTTTCATTGTCCTTAATTTTCTAGACCAAGTAACTCAATTGTATTTATAGTTCATAAAATAATGTACAAATATTTTATGAGTTTTGGCACTTGGCCCTAATTTTATTATAAGCCCCTGTTGGCCTGGTGAGAAAGATGTAGATACATAACTTTTCCGTATTTTTGGCTTTTGCGTCATCTAAAACGAACTGCCAACCACGGTCTAAAGTCAAAAAAATACAGTACATAATCAGGCGACTACGTAGAATTTGATGGTGGGTCCCATAAAATGCATTGTATTCTATAAAGTCCACGTAGTAAAAAGTTTTAAATTGAAATTTTATATTGGAATAGTCATTAAATATAATAAAAATAAAACTATTCAATACTTCTAGTTGAACTATAATATGATAACATATCAATGTTCAATGCTAACATCATGTTGGTGAGATTCCCCGATTTAGATAACAGCGAGATATCATTAAAATCAAATTTAACCATATTAAACAATACCTCAAATATATATCCAAAATTCAATTGATAACCTAAACCTGAACCAAGATAAAAGTTAACAATTTGTTATCAAATTTAACAAATCATGATTTATTGATTATTGATGATAAATCAAATTATTTTTTTTTATTTACGTTATTTCAGTATTTCACGGTTATAACTTGTAGATAAATAAATAAATAATAATATTATAAACCTACCACATAGGTTACTTAAAATAGTAATTACAAATATCTAACGAATATTTTAGACCCAAAAAAACAGAATATTCTTATTACCTAGATCAAACTTTTACATAAAATACCTAACTAGTAAATAAAATACTTTTATAATTAGTGAAAAGCAGATTATATAGCAGAAGAATAATCATCAAAGTCATTAAAGTTCACACTTGTTTTAAAAGTTGAATTTTGTCCGGAGTGACCAGTAAAATGTGGTGACTTTGGAAACGTACCTATTAGATTTCATTAAAAACCGATGTTATAATTACAATGGTTGACTTCGGACAATATAAATTTTTTTTTTTTTTTTTTTTTTTTTTTTTCAGCTTAGCGGTCCATTCAGGACCATCGCTGCCATCAAAATTTCTCTCCACCTCTCTCTCTGATATGCCGTTTCTAAAGTTGCTTCCTGGTCTATCATTTTTATATCTTTGGCAACTACGTCAATCCATCGGGTTTTGGGTCGTCCTAGGGGTCTCGTTTTGTTTATTTTATTGATAAGTACATTTTTAATTAATTGTCCATCTGCCCTCCATACATGTCCGAACCATTCTAGTCGTTTTTTCCTAATAAAGTAGAGTATATCTGGCTTATTATAGAGAGACTTTATATTTTCGTTGCTTCTTCTTTCGTATGTCTGTGTTTCTGGGTTGAAGATTGGTCCATAAATGGTTCGTAACACTTTCCTTTCGAACGTGATAAGTCTTCTACTATCACCTTTAGTTAACGACCAGGTTTCACAGGCGTATGTTATCACAGGTCGAAGGTAGCTTTGATCCTCTCGATAACAGCTTAGACCTCAAGAGTTTGATAATACTGAAGTAACATCTATTTCCACTAGTGATCCGTTCATTTATTTCTATATGCATATCATTTTTGTTGTTGATGTTTACGCCTAAATACTTAAAATTATCAACTTTTTCAAATTTATAACTATCTACTACTATGGAATCTATATTTGGTGGTCTTCTCGATACGACCATATACTTAGTTTTCCCCTCGTTTACATATAATCCTATTCCTTTACTTGCATTTATGAGTTTAGATGTTGAGTTGATGATTTCCTCCTTGGTTTCACCCATCAGTACAATGTCATCTGCATAGGCTAACCTAACTTGTTCATTGCTTATCTCCATTCTTCTGTCATCGTTTGTGTCTCTAATTATTTTTTCGAGGGCTAAGTTAAATAGAGCAGGTGACAACGCGTCCCCTTGTTTAAGGCCAGATTTGACTTCAAAAGGATCTGAGATGCCTTGCATATAACACACTCTGCATAGTGATTTTTCGTAACACGCTTTTATTAGGTTCACATACTTTTTGGGAATTCCTAAAATTACCAATGCTTTCCAAAGCTCTTCTCTGTCTACACTATCGTACGCCTGCTTGTAATCCACAAAGACTAGATGCAGGTCCTTTCCAAATTCGTAGTATTTTGACATTAATTGTCTTAGCGTGAAAACATGGTCTGTTGTGGATTTTCCTCTCCTAAACCCGCATTGGTAATTCCCAACTATTTCTTCAACATACGGGTTTAACCTTTCTAATATCAGTGTTGTCAGAATTTTATAGCATGTGTCCAGTAGCGAAATTCCTCTATAGTTCTCAGTTTTAGTAGGGTTGCCTTTTTTAAATATTGGGCATATAATTGCAGTTTTCCATTCTTCCGGGATTGTCTCAGTTTTCCATATTGTTTTAATAACTTCTGTAATTTTGCTCGCAAGCATCGTACCGCCTTTTTTAAGTAATTCCGCTACTATGCTGTTTTCACCTGGGGCTTTGTTATTTTTAAGCTTCTTAATCAGATTAACAATTTCTTCGTATTTGGGAGCGTCTATATCTATTTCTGCTGTTAGGCAGTCCTCGCTTGGATTTAAACCCTGCCTTATTGAGGGTCGGTTCAGGAGGTCTTCAAAATGTTCCTTGAATTGGTTAATTACTTGTCTTTCTTCTGTGATCATAGTTCCCATACTGTCCACTAAGATCCTTGTTTGTGGTTTAAAGCCAACTTTTACTTCCCCGGTCATTTTGAAAAACTTTTTTGCGTTGTATCTATTGGTTTCTATTTCTTCTATTTTCTTCTTTTCGTTTAGACGTTTCTCTCTCCTTAACACTTTATTTGTCAATTTTCTTTGTTCTTCATATTCTCTTATGCACTCGTCTGATGCACTTTGTAGTGCTTTTTTCCTCAATTCGTTTCTTCTGATAACTGCATTCTTACATAAATCGTTGAACCAGTTTTTATTCTTTTCTTTTGGTTTCATTCCTAGAATTTCCGTTGCACTATTAACCACCGCTCCCTTTGTACTGTTCCAAATCGTATCAATTTCTGTACTATGTCTTATTTGATTTATATTATTATTTTGTAATTCGTGTGTAATTCTCTCAATATAATTATGCTTTATTTCAATATCATTTAATTTTTGAATGTCGTACTTTATTGTAGGTTTCCTTTTTTCCAAGTTCCATTTTGTTGCCAGTCTCAGGTTAAATTTCGCATACACTAGGTAGTGGTCTGAGTCTGCGTCAGCTCCTCTATACGTTCTTACATTCCTTATGCATCCCCTAAATCTCCTGTCGATAAGTATGTGGTCAATTTGATTAGATGTTCTTCCATCAGGGGATTTCCAAGTGACTTTGTGTATATTTTTTCTGGGGAAATATGTACTGCTTATTATACAATTTTTTGAATGTGCAAAATTTATCAGTCTGGTTCCATTTCCGTTACTAATTTCGTGTAAGCTGTTAGGTCCTATGACCGGTCTATATATATGTTCTCTTCCAGCCTTCGCGTTCATATCACCTACTACTATCTTTATACAGTGCAACGGTAAAGTGTCATATACCCTTTCTAGTTCTTCATAGAATTTGTCTTTTATGTCTTCATCTTTTTCCTCTGTTGGGGCATAGCAGTTTATGATAATTAAGTCAAATATCCTTCCCGCTATACGTATATAGCAAATTCTATCATTAAAGGCTGAAAAGGTCTTAACATTTGGTAGTATCTTGTCGTGTACCATAAAACCTACTCCATTTTCATGTCTTCCATTAGTAGTGCCACTGTAAAATAATGTTATATTGTCTTTCTTTAGGTTTCCACTATTTGGCCACCTTATCTCTTGTATTGCTAATATGTCAATTGTATAGTTATTATACGCGTCAAGTACATATTGCAATGCTCCAGATTTGTTTAGTGTTCTGACGTTCCAAGTTCCTATACGTAGCCCATTTTCCGATTCCAGTTGTTTGCCATTTTCAATCCAGTTCCGAGGCTTTTTTGATGGTTTCTTAACTGATTGTTTTTTGCGAGAACGGGTTGTTGGCCCGAAGCTCAACCCCCAAGATTGGAGGGCCGTTCCGCGCCGACTACTTAAAGTCAGCGTGGTGCTATTGCAATACACTTTGCAGTGTATTGGGCGATGGGGGCGCAACTTTCCCTACGCCAATGACTGGGATCCGCGGGTTTGTCATGCCCGTTACCAATTAAGGTACCCCATGCGGGGGACAATATAAATATTTAAAAAAAAAAATGTAATAAATTGAAACAAAAAAAAACCCCATACATTTATCGCGAATACAACATAATTTATTTAATAGTCTAAAAAAATAATTCTTATGGTACCTACTTTTCTATAAACATGTCAACTTAAAATGTATATTTTACTTTTCTTTTTTTTACTTATTGTTTGTCATTTTTTTATAACTAACACCATCAACGATATTTGAAATAGCATTAAGGTTATAATTAATATATAGGGACGACCTCCTACATTATTGACATATGATCTGGGCAGTGCGCATAGTTAACGTGTTGTCCGAAGTAGATCAATTAGGTAACTTAACAATTTCACATATACCAATTAACACAGACAAGTTAACGAGTATCGGTTACTGAAAACTGGAATCAAATATTTCAATTTGTTGTTGTGTTACAGTAGTCAATGTAGTTATATAATTTAAAAATACAAAAATATAATATTTTGTATTTACCTACCTTTTTTTTTTTTTTTTTTTGTGTAAATCACGGCGCTACAAGGAAATTCTACACCCGTGAGGGCCGTCCTTCTCCCTGCATCCGTATTATTTATTGACAAACAAATAATGTACAATAGTTATACTAATTATGAGCTTTGCTCTACAAAACAGAGAGGACTCTATTCCTCTAAATTTCGCTTTCAGCGCACAAATTACAGTCTTAACTACTTTAAATTCGGCATCGCTGTCGCACCCTTTCTTCATGTTCCCTTGTGGACTGCACGAGGTTGACGAAGCTGCTGACTGCGTCCCAGTTACTCCGTTTCTTCAACATGTTGCGCACAATGTTGTCTGGGGACAAGTCCTCTTCCAGCTCCAAATACAGCGCTCGCCGTTGTTCCACCATCTGCCGCAAATGAAAAAGACGTGTTCTCGACTGGTTGCTGACAATCAACACAAGTTGCTGCATCCAACTTCCCGATCCTGCGAAGGTATTCTCCGAAATATCCGTGATTGGACAATAACTGGGTCATGTGGAAATCTACAGATCCACGATTCCTGCCCCTCCAGGAGTTAATATCTTGGATCAACCTCCTTGTCCATCTTCCATTGCTTTCATTGGCCCACTCTGCCTGCCATTTCCTCATTGTTTCAGCGCGGATTTCCGATGTAGTCCTTGCTGCGTCTGGCTCGTGCCTCCGTTTGTACCTCTCACACCTCTCAAAGGATAGAAGGTGAGCGGGTATCATTCCTGCGATCACCAGCACCGCTGCAGTTGATACAGTTCTGTACGCCATTATGGTCCGTAGAGCGATGGTCCTCTGGGGTCTATCTAACCTTACTACGTTGCGATTAAACGCCATCGCTGCATCTCATATCGGCGCCGCATACAATAACTTGCTTGTCACTACCGTTGCCAGGAGAGATCTCTTATTCTGCCTCGGGCCTCCGATGTTGGGCATAAGTCTGGATAGGGCAGTTGACGTGGTCTGTGCCCTGTCCGCCGCCGATTCCACATGCGCCCTAAAGCCGAGAACCCTGTGGAGTTCAACACCTAGGTACCTAATACTTTCTTTGACTTCAATGTGGCTGCCTAAGATTGAAAAGTTCGGCCGGCGGTATCCCCTCTTCGCCGTCAGGATGACTGCCTCGGTCTTCCTCACCGACAGAGATAGACCAGCACCAATCATCCACTCGGCAACTTTATTCAGAGCCTGGTTTGTTACCGTCTCTAGTATCCATGTTGTGTGGCCAGTTGCCACGACAGCCACGTCGTCTGCGAAGGCCACCAGTTCAGTGGACGACATTTCGCGCGCATTCCTCCACATCCCTCCTGTGTCCACTTGGAGGAGCTCATCATACATAATGTTCCACAAGAGAGGCCCAAGCACGGAACCTTGTGGAACTCCGCACGTGGTAGGTGTTGAGTTTCCTCCGTGTACCACCGTCCGATCACTTAGGTAGCCTTCGATTATTTCGACAAGATAGGGGGGCATTCCTTTATCCTTCATGGCTTTTACTATTCTCAGCCATCGCCGAATTAAAGGCGTTTGCCACGTCCAACGCCACGACTGCACACAGCTTTCTATTATAGGGCTGTCCGGATCCAGCTGCCTCCACGACGTCCTGCACGCGTTTTATCGCGTCTACAGTCGACCGCCCCTTTCTGAATCCGTATTGACGGTCGTCGAGGTCACCGGCTTCTTCGAGCCGCTTCTCAATACGGGTCTTGATCAGTCTTTCAAAAAATTTACCAACTGTGTTCAGCAGGCATATTGGTCTGTAGGACGAGGGGTCCTCGAGAGGTTTGTCCCCTTTCCTTAAAAGAACGAGCTTCGCTATCTTCCAAGAGTGCGGGAAGACGTTCTCCTTTAGGCATTTGTTAAAGATATCTCGCAGTATCTCGGGTTTGTGCCTAGCGACGTTTCTGATGATCAAGTCAGGTACACCATCAGGTCCCGGTGCCTTTCCGAGTGGGATCTTGTTGCTGAGCTCTGTTATTTCTGTGCTGTTCACCGCTGGGAAGTCGTGGTTTCCCGCAAGTAATGGCCAGGCGGTGGGTTCCTCCCTCGGGAATAGAGCGTCGACGATTGATTCCACTCTTCCTGGTGCGTAGTAATATGTTATAATATATTGTAATTTTTTTTTTTTATAGTTAATTATAATACATAATATTATATGGTATACTAAAATACTATATTATTTAAAAATCATTGCCAACTTAATTTGAAAAAATGACTGGTCGAAACGGGTATCTGGGTGAAACGGGTGCCGCCCCCGAAGTTATCGGTGTCCTGCTCTGTTTATGAAACGCTGCCGGCTGGCCCCTGCTCGCCCTGGTCACTCTAGACTTCAGGGGTATGCTTCGAAACTCCGATCTAGCAAAATCCCTAAATATGATACCAACTGCCCCCAAGGGGGGAAAGTCCCCTTTTCCGGACCCTTCAGATCGGTTCCAAATTTAGCAGGGCCCTTTGGCTAGACCTCTAGATGCCGTGTGCCAAATTTGGTTAAGATCCCTTGGTGGGAAGCTCCGATCCCTTCGAAGGGATTTTAGACCCACCAACTATGGAGGGGACTCACAGAGGACCGTTAACCAAAATCAATGGCGCAAGAGCGGATCCTCTATGATGAATCCCTGCCGAGATGTGCTTGATCAAAAAAAACGGGGAGAAGAAGTCCCTTTTAGTATGTAGTGCGCTAGAGTGCACTAATACGTATAGCGTTGACCCCGTATCTCTTACGGGGGTTATTTACAGTTTGTTGACGAAAAAACTAATTGCATCCACGGTGGAGAAAATTCAAAATTCCCGCCAGGGGACGGATGTCACCGACAGTTGTCCCTCGACACTGATGCACTTGTGCAAGTTGTTCCCCGATGGTTGGTCCTCGGAAACACGTGTTTCTGGGCCGCCGTGTATTCTTATGGGGCTGAACAAAAATTGCTATTACTCCCATTGCGTGTCGGACCTTGGCGGTCAAGGTGTCCACGGGTTCGCTTCGGTGAGCCGTTCGCCGGCAGTTGACTTGCAAGCTGGTAGAAGGGGGAAACGTGAATCCCCGTGAGCGAGGGGGCCTGGCTAGTCGCGCGGTACTCCAAAACGTGCGGGGGGGGTGTGGGTTATTTAATCGGGTCGACTCGAAACCGACACCGACCCGAGCGCGCACTTTTTAGCCAAAAAACCGAGTTCTGCGTAACCCGGTAGCGCAAAAACACACGTGTAACACAAGAATTGAGTTTTCTCGGTGAAAACTCAACCGATCGTTGAGATTCGGTTTGTACCGAACACTCGGAAATTAAATTCCGCATCGATTGGCACTTGACACGCAAAAAAACGGTGTACTATACCCGAGAAAAAACAGAAACAAACAGGAGCGACGCACGGACACGTCCGATCACCTAACCTACACACATCTTTATTGTATTTACCTACCTACATAACATGTACTATGACACCGTTATATGCCATCAATAGGCTTAGGGACTTCTAGCATTTGCATACTTTTTTTTAACTATTGTTAAATATAGCAGAGTGAGAAATAAATTCGTTTCTTGGTGCCATGATATCAGATCTAAAATTTGAATGTGCATATTTTTGCATATTTGATAGATTTTGCAGAAAAGTGCATATTTTAGAATATTGTTATGCTTATATTGCATATTTTGACAAATTTTTCAAATTTCAAATTAAAAACTATATTTCAACTAATCGAAAAAAAATGTATTAATACTTCCAGTAATATGGTATCTGCAAACTACCTCTCATATCTCGTTATAATTATTGTGTAACAAATACTCCCACAACTTCTTAATAGCCAAGGAAGAACCCCCAATGTGCACATCCTGCGGTGTCCAAGTCACCATCAATCACACTCACATAGACATTCTCACTGAATGCAGAACATACCACAATACCCGAACAAGCCACAACCTGCCTGAATCATTGTACGGAATACTAAGCAATCACCCTCAATCCATAGTCAACATTATCCAATTCATCACAGCCGCCAATCTTCAAACCAAAATTTAGTGTAATTTAGATTTAGTATACAATTTATGTAATTTTTAATTTCCTCACTCTAAGCAAAATGGCCCATGTGGCCGAGGGTATAAATATATAAAAATAAAAATAATTTTGTGTTAGTTTAAATAATACTATAAACCCGTATCGACCTTATAACCCGCTGGATATCGACCGGATGTCGATAAAGATAATAGTCGATATAAAATAATAGATTATTTGTTCAGTCGATTATTATCCGTCGTTGTTTTCACCTCTCTTGTACTTTTCACTAGTGTAGATTTTTAGACGCAACAAGTTCTTCATCAAGATGAATGTAAATAAACCTAAAGTAATTATTGTTGAAATGCCGAAAGTACAAAAGTCAAAGTTACAATGTTATGTTTCAGAATTTAAAGACACATTTTCGTCTGATGATAGTGTTTTATTTTGTAAATTTTGGGAAATAAAAGTTGGAAGTGTCAAACGAACGTTTCAATGTTGTCCAGCATCTAAGGACTGACAAGCATAATAGAGCAGTTAAACGGGAAGAAAATAAAATAAATCAGGTGAACCAGCACTCAGCAGTTTGTTTTAAACACCAACCTACGCAAAAAGAATAATTTCAACAAAGATTTGTGCAATGCTTTGCTTTCGTCAAATAATCCTCTAAATAAATTATCAAACAACGAATTTAAAAGGTTTTTATAAAAATATACGAATGAAGATATACCTAGTGAAACAACACTTCGTAAAGGTTACGTTGACGATGTTTACTAAGAGACTATTTTTATTGTTTGTAAGCGATGCAGCCCCTTATATGATTAAGGCGGGTAAAGCTATTCAAATTACAAACACTTTATTCAAAAGTTATTCCTTTTACCTGCCTTGCACATGCATTTCACAGGCTCGTTGAAAAAGTTCGTGACGAATTTTCAGAAGTAGATACGGTAGTAACTTCAGTGAAAAAAAGTACTTCGAAAATCTCCCTTGCGTATAAAAACATTTTTAAATATGACCAAAAACGAGATTCCTTTACCACCTGAACCTATACTAACAAGATGGGGAACTTGGATAAATGCTACCATCGACTATTGCAAATATTTAGAGAACATTCAGACAGTCATAAAAACATTCGACAGCGATGATGCCACTTAAATTAAGACAGCCAAAAAGTATTTAGAAAAGAATAACCTACAGTGTAACTTGGCCTTTATTAAATCGAATTTCGGATTTTTACCCAAATCCATAACATTTTTGGAAAAGAAAGGAATAATATAATTATCCGATTCATTAAAAACGGTCGAAGATGCGAAAAATAAAATTGTTGACTTAAAATATACAAAAGGCAAAGTAGTTGTAAAGAAGTTAAATGACGTTTTAGAAAAAAATCATGGTTACAAAGCTTTATTAAAAATTTCAAAAATTTTAAGCTGCGAAGTTGAAGATATGGAAGGATTGCTTGAAGACTTGACAAGTAATCAGGTATATCTGGTTTATTTTATGTATGCTCCAATTTCGTCTGTAGATGTCGAAAGAAGTTTTTCAGTGTATACAAATTTACTGTCAAGTAATCGTCGTAGATTCACGTTTGAAAACATCAGGAAATATCTTATTGTGCAGTGCAATTTTAAAGGTAAAGAAATTAATAAAATAATAAGAATTAAAACATTTAAATATTTAATCATTGTTTTAGTTTTACTTTAGGATCGGAAGACACGGAAGAACACTAAAATTTAAACCTATTACCTTTTGAAAATTCAATTTATTAGGTATATCATTTTCAATTCAAGTAATAATATTATAATATTATATAATATAAATTCTAATAAAATAAATATTTAATTTTACCACATATTTGTTATACCTAATTTTTACGGGGGCCATATCTTAGTACATATACTGTTATTTTTAGGTGCATATTTGGCCATTTTTTCGTGGATATTTGGGTATTTTTTAGAGCTACAAGTCTCTAAGCCTAGTCATCAATAAATATTATTTTCTATGGAGGTTATAATATATATTAACGTGGAGTATCAGTTTTCACTTTTATTAAACCTGTAGATATTCTAAAATTATAAGATAACTAAACAAACATGGTGTTATCTGAATTCTGATACGGAGCAGCAGGACTGCTGACTGAAAATAAAATCAACACAATAGTGTATCAGTATTACAATATTCTTTTATTAAATAATCAGTAATAAATATGAGTACATATGCCAAAGGTTCTGGGTCGCTGTTGGATTCGATTGGACTCCTCGTGTTGACCCGTTTGGCCGGGCGATATCACTTCTCATTTTTTGGGGTTTTACGACGTGTTTCACCAGGTTTGTGACCGAGGTTTCTTAAATGTGGGTACTTAGAGTATGAGTTCTTGTGAAACATCGCAGAAGCCTGACTGGTAATGGTTTCTCTAATGGTTTTTAATCCTGCGGAGCCGCGTAGAATATCATTCCTGAC